GGGGGGGGGCTTGAGGTGGGCCGGGGCGGGCCGGGCGGCACTGGTGTCGCCGTCCCTCTAAATACCCCCGGCCCGGTCATAAACACCAGGGTCGCACGCGGTGCCGAGGAAATGGACGCCAACGTCAGCCACTTTACGGTCCGGAACGAGGAACAAGGGCGAAAACGCAGCGAGACGGTGGCGTGGAGGGGCGCTCCTGCGCCGGTCGGAAATGTTCTGGTTATTGAGTGTAATCGTTATTCGAAGGCTGCGTGGTTTATGAGCGACTCGTATTGGGTCGCAGAAAAGTATTCAGTTGTTACGCGAATTTTTCGAATAGTTTCGAATCAAAAGAGTGTTTTATTTCTCTCCGCAGCCGGGCTGTTCTACGAAGACGAGTGGCAGGAAATCCTGGCCTTTAGGGCGGCCATCGAGCGCGTAAACATGGACAAGAAAGTGCTGCCCGGGATCACCATCGTGCCCGTCGTGGAGCTGCTGACCAACGTGGACAGCTTCATGCTGAGCAAAAGAGGTAAGATAACGAACGACGTAAAAATCTTACTTGTTTATGTTTGAAAAATAAAAGTTCTTCTTTTGCGTCTTTCACAGTTTGCAACCTAACATACAATGGCGTAGCCGCCATATTCGGCCCCAAGAGCAGACAATCGGTGAATATCGTATCCTCCATCACGGAGACGTTCGAGATACCACACATCGTCACGCACCCCGGGTTGGCGAGGAGGCCAACCAACTACCAGATTAACATCTACCCCGAGCGCCACAGCCTCTCGCAGGTAGGCACCCAGACGGATATCCGCTACTTAAAAGCCAATCGGTGGAAATCGACGTCGGTTAGACTTTAAACCTCCAGCCGGCTAGAGGGCCCATTCGAGCCCACTGCCAGTAGCCCGCCGGCGAGCAAGGTACGGACTCTGTGATGGCACCGTGGCAGTGTGAAACTCTTGTTCCAGGCCATCCTGGACCTGCTCGAGGACATGGCCTGGAAGACGTTCACCATCGTCTACGAGGACGACGAGGGACTGTTCCGGCTTCAGGAGGTGCTCAAGGCTCACGGTCCCAGCGACAGCCCAGTCACCCTCCGGCGTCTGGGGGAAGGGCCAGACTACAGGCAAGTGACGAAAAGTGTATATCATTTTGAGACTTCAGATTAGGGTGAGCTGTTCTCTGACGGCGAGGGTCAGGCAGGCCACTGCTGAAGGAGATCCAAAACAGCACGGAGACGCGCATACTCCTCGACGTGTCCGCCGACAAGCTCATGGACATCTTCTACCAGGCGAAGCAGGTCAAGCTGATGAGCGACTACATCAGCTACTTGGTCACGTCACTGGTGAGCATTCCCTCCGGCCCCACGACCACGACAGCGTGGTCGCGGCTCAGTCTTTGCCTTTCATTGATCGACTGCTTCCCGGCACAGGACGCGCACACGCTGGACTACACCGAGCTGGACCTGTGGGCCGAGGAGGAGTCGGGCGTCGCCAACATCACGGGCTTCCGGCTCGTCGACCCCAACTCCATGGACGTGCAGAACGCCGTCCACGACTGGATCTGGACCGAGCGGATGCGCGGCAACACCATCACGCTCACGCCCAAGATGGTGAAGACGTCCTCGGCGCTCATCAACGACGCGGTGCACATGCTCGCGCGGGCGCTGCACCAGCTCGACCAGACGGAGCCCTTCATCGTGGAGGCGCCGCTGTCGTGCGAGGGCGTGGACAAGTGGGAGCACGGCGAGCGCATCGTCTCCTTCGTCAAAGCCGTAAGCCTCGACGCTCCCCGTGGCGTTCACTCACCACCCTAAAGAGACCCCACTCACTCAAACCTGGCTTACGCCGGCGCTCGCTTCCAGAAATACAGTGACCCGGACAACACGGAGAGCGGCATGACGGGCCCGCTGTGGCTCGACAAGGACTCGTCGTACAGGCGCAACAACTTCACCGTCACCCTCATCGAGACCAGGGCGGACAACGCGACGGGGACGTGGAACCGCTCCGGCATCCACCTGTACCGCACGGTCGAGGAGATGGAACGCTTCACCAAAGAGCTGCTCTCGAAGAAGGTCATGCGCGTCGTCTCCAAGCTGGTGAGTATCGTCGGTCCAAAGCAGCTTCAGCTTGTTGATGGGGCTCCTCCCCACTGACCGCTCCGCTCCGCCCCCCAGGGTCCACCGTATCTCATGATGAGGGAGAACCAAACGGGGACGACGGGCAACGACCAGTTCCGCGGATACGCCATCGAACTGATCCAAATGATCGCCGACGAGCTCAAATTCAAGTTCGAGTTCTACCTCGTCAAGGACGGGAAGTACGGCTCTCTCAACAAGGATGGGCGGTGGGACGGCCTCATCAAGGATCTGCTGGACAGGGTGAGAAGCGAGCGAGGGAACTGGATGGGAGGGTCTGGTAAAGCACCGTGGCTCTTACGGGACGCACCTGTTCTTTTGACAGAAAGCTGACCTGGGCATCTGCGACCTGACTATAACGTACGACCGGGAGCGAGCCGTGGACTTCACGATGCCGTTTATGACTCTCGGTAAGAAAATCCAGAAGTATCGACTTCAGACATTGCTAAGAATCGTCGCCGATTGAATAGTGATGATCCGGTAAGTACGTCCGTCATTCGCTGCTACACACTTGACCAGTTCAGCCTCTACGGGCTTCTATATAGCGCCTGGTGGGTGGGTAGGCAACATCTTTCCTGAAGCGCATGCGTGTAGTGCGGGGTGGCCTATCCCGAGTCTCGCAGGCGCCGAGCTCCTGTAATTAACTGAATGAAACTAAAGGAAAAAACGGACTTACTTTCTGGATAATCCCATAAACCTGTCCACAGGGATCTCTATTCTGTATTCCAATCCGCCCGAGAAGGCGCCCAACCTCTACTCGTTCTTGGAGCCGCTGTCCACGGAAGTTTGGATCTACATGGCGTCGGCTTTCATAAGCGTATCACTATTACTCTTCATACTTGCGAGGTAAATAGCAAATAGCAGCGGCCCATTAGGGAAATGGGCTTCCCCTTTGTTGATCTAATTCCGTCTCAGCAGTCAGGTGTTGCAACACCTGTTGCGAATACACAGCTAGAAGTACAGCACTTTAAAAACTGCCAGTTCGCTTGCGTATGTTTGGTGAATGACTACATACGACCGACGTCACTCTGTGACGTCCGTCGCTCACCTGTCTTGAAAGTGACGCCACTGGATCATTGGCCATAGATTCAATAATAATTTCAAAAATCTCAAGAAAACGCAAACTTTATCTGCAGGGTAACCCCTCTGGAGTGGAATAACCCTCATCCGTGCAACCCCGAGCCCGAGGAGCTCGAGAACACCTTCAACCTCATCAACAGTATGTGGTTCGCCATGGGTTCATTCCTCCAGCAGGGTTGCGACTTCCTGCCACAGTGAGTATTGGAAAAGGGGGGGGGGGCACTATAGAGAGAGATAACGTGATCCCTAAATCCTGGCCCGTCTCCCCAGGGCACCCTCGACGCGCATGGTGGCCGGCCTGTGGTGGTTCTTCACGCTCATCATGATCTCCTCGTACACGGCTAACCTGGCGGCCTTCCTCACGGCCGCGGGGTTGGACACCGAGAGGATCCACAGCGCCAAGGACCTGGGCGCGCAGAACAAGGTCCAGTACGGCTGCATGGCCGGCGGCTCCACCCAAGCCTTCTTCGCGGTGAGTATACACTCACCGTCTCTCACAAAAATGCAATGCACGTCACAAGTTTAAGCCTGACACGCGTTGTTCCGTGGCATGTGCAGGCTTCCAACACGTCCGAGTACCAGCGCATGTGGTCCATCATGTCGGCCGCGCGACCCACCGTGTTCACGGCGAGCAACCCGCTGGGCGTGGAGCGGGTCAAGAACGCGTGGGAGAACGGCAAGCGGGACTACGCCTTCTTCATGGAGTCCACCGGCATCGAGTACGAGTGTCAGCGCACCTGCTACCTCCGGATGGTGGGCAACCTCCTCGACTCCAAGGGCTACGGCATAGCCATGCCGAGGAGTAAGTTAACACTGCACGAGCACCCCCCTCTGCCCTCGGTCAGCAGTCACCCCAGACAGTCACGCCTCCCCCCCCCCCCTCACACTTTCTAATTTTCGCACCGCCCGTTGCAGACTCACCCTACCGCGCCCTCATCTCCGGCGCCGTCCTCAAGCTGCAGGAGAAGGGCAAGCTGGTGCAGCTCAAGGACCGCTGGTGGAAGCAGATGGACGCGGGCGGGGCGTGCGAGCAAGAGTTCGTGGACAACAGCGACGACAACAAGCTCACCATGGGTCACGTGGGCGGCGTGTTCCTCGTGCTGACGTACGGCTGCGTGGGCGCCTTCTTCGTGGCGGTGGGCGAGTTCCTCTGGAACACGCACACCGTGGCCATCGAGAACAAGGTGCGTGTGCTACCCTGCCCTTTCACTACTCACACGCACAGGCGTCGTCACCCAGCACAGCAAAGGTCAAACGGGGATAATAAACACGAAAGGCAAACGCCTGATACGTATTCACCGTCGCACACCAGGAATCGGACGAGGCGTCACACGCGTGAACGAGAACTCGACGTGATCGCCGGCGGGGCGGGGCTGCGCACAGCAGACGATCAGAACTTTAGTTCGCCTAGATATGGGGTCCCGTTACAGCGCACGAGCGGCTGGGCCGACGGGTGGAGCGGCGGCGCTTGTGCTAGGGAGCTTAGCTGGTGCGGGCAGGGGAGTTGTTGCGGGTGCTCTCCAACCGGACTATAACAGAAAGGGGGGGGGGGCACAGCGGCGGGGGTGGATGGTAGCAACTGTGGTGTAGGTAGCGTCGAGCGCGAGCGGAACTGAGGTCTTTAATTAGGAATAAGAAATGTTGGCAGGGACTGGCAGACCGACCGTTGCATCGCCTGCTCTAATGCTTCTCTCCCGCACGCAGATCACCCCCAAGGAGGCGCTGGTGAAGGAGATGAAGTTCGCGGTGCGCTGCAGCGAGGACACCAAGCCCATCAGACACAGGGCGACGACGCCCAGCTCCAGCCGCAGTGGCAGCCGTTCCCTGGGCAGGTCCCTGGCGCTCTCCCTGCTGCAGTTAAACGCCTTCCAGCGACTGGGCGGCGGGGGCGGCGGCGGTGATGGCGGCGACGGGGGAGGCGGCACTGAGAAGAAGAAGTAGACGCAGTCGTGGTCTCGGGGCCGCCGCCGAGCAAGCTCCACCTGCAGGGCCGCGTCGCGCAAGCCATAGCTATCCAACCCCGTGACATTTTGATGCGTCTGCTGTTGCTCTTGTTGAATTGCGATTTGTTTCCAGTCAGCAGCCGAGGCCGAGCATGTTACCATCGTGTACATTCCAAAAGACGGTAGGCCTCTAGGGCGTGGGTAATGTGGAGCTTTTTAGAGGGTGGTCTCCTTAGGTGATAGCGAGAGGAGGATCCATTTTCTAGATACTTGAACTTACACTTTCGCTGCACGAAAGGTCTTGTCAAAGTAGAAAGTGACAAAAACAATCTGATAAATTGTGACACATATTTTGTTTAGAATAAATTACAGTTGTTTTATCGTATACTTGTATGTTTACCACACAAAATAAACCACTTGTTTGTACCGGACCTGGCAGCAGCAAGGGAAAAGAGAAATGTGTGGAAGAAAGAGGCATTTATTCAAGATGATGTAACATACGTCCATTTGTTTAGTTAACAATTACAAGGATTTTACTTCAGACAGATTGTGAGCATGCATCTCTAAATGCGCAAGCGAGCAGAGTGTCCTCCTCTAGTGCCACTTTCTGCTCCCTGTGAACCAGAGGGGCCAGAAAATTCCCACTGAGCTCCGAACTCACGTTGCCTTTCAGAAGACCCTCCGAGACTACCTCGTCCTCCGGCGGATCCTCCGATGCCTTCTTGTCCTCCAAACCGGTTCTCTCCCTGTCCTCCAAGCGAACCTTCAAACCCGCCCTGCCCTGCGGTGGAGCCCCCTACCTGTCCTCCAAAGCCACCCTGTCCTCCAGCAGAACCTCCCATGCCACCCTGTCCTCCAGGACGACCTCCCATGCCTACCTGTCCTCCAGCGGAACCTCCCATGCCACCCTGTCCTCCGAATCCACCCTGTCCTCTAGCGGAACCTCCCATGCCACCCTGTCCTCCAAATCCACCCTGTCCTCTTGCAGAACCTCCCATGCCGCCCTGTCCTCCAGCAAGACCTCCCATTCCTACCTGTCCTCCAAAGCCACCCTGTCCTCCAGGACGACCTCCCATGCCTACCTGTCCTCCAAAGCCACCCTGTCCTCCAGCTGAACCTCCCATGCCACCCTGTCCTCCAGCACGACCTCCCATGCCTACCTGTCCTCCAAAGCCACCACGTCCTCCAAACCCACGACCACCGCGGCCGCCAAGTCCTCCTTGGCCCTGGCCTTGACCCTGACCGCCAGCACCAAAGCTCATTTGCCCACGGCCACCGGCACTACCCTGACCTCTACCTCCAGGCCCGCCCTGTCCCTGTCCGCCAAAACTCAGGTTCATTTCTCCGCGACCTCCTGCTTCTCCTTGACCACCGATTCCGCCCTGAGCCTGGCCTCCACGACATCCGGCAGCACCCTGTCCCTGCCCGCCAAAGCCTCCACGGCCTGCGGCAGCACCCTGACTCTGTCCTTGGCCCTGACCGCCAAAGCTTCCACGACCTCCTGCAACACCCTGTGTCTGGCCACTGATGCCCCCACGACCTCCGGCACCACCTTGCCCTTGACCACTGAGGCCCAGACTACCTGCAGCACCTCCATGAGCTTGGCCGCCAAAGCCTCCATGGCCTCCTGCAGCACCCTGCGCCTGACCCCCAAGGCTTGCACGACCTCCGGCAGCCTCCTGTCCCTGACCACTGATGCCCACACGGCCTCCGGCACCACCTTGTCCACCGGCAGCACCCTGGCGGCCTCGTCCATTGGCTCCCCCCAAAACTCCTGAACCCAAACCTCCCTGGCCCAGACCGCTGAGTCTTCCGGATAGCCCATTTGTACCACCAAGACCTGCGCTCAGACCACCGGAACCCAAACCACCCAGGCCCAGGCCGCTAAGCCCTCCGGATAGTCCACCTGAGCCCCCAAGACCTGCGCGCTGACCGCCGGAGAGGAGGCCGCTAAGTCCGTTGTTCTGGCCGGCACGGCCGCCGAGTCCTCCAGCAAGACCACCAAGGCCTGCGCTGACAGCTCCGCCCAGACCTCCCTGACCCTGTCCTCCGAGACCTCCAGCGAGTCTGCCCAGACCACTGAGACCTCCGCTCAGACCGCTTCCGGAAAGACCTCCGTTGAGTGCTGCGCTGAGCCCTCCTCCAAGGGCGCTGCCGGACGATCCCTGGCCCCCGGCGAGGCCCTGGATGGCTCCAGCGACATTCCTCGCGGTGGAGCTGGCCTCTCCGGCGATGTTCCTCGCAGAGCTGAGGCGTCCAGCAATGTTCCTGGCGGCGCTGACGCCATCGGAGAGGCTGCTGACAGCTCCACCCAGACCTCCCTGGCCCTGTCCTCCGAGACCTCCAGCGAGTCTGCGCAGACCACTGAGACCTCCGCTCAGACCGCTTCCGGAAAGACCTCCGTTGAGTGCTGCGCTGAGCCCCCCTCCAAGGGCGCTGCCGGACGATCCCTGGGCCCCGGCGAGGCCCTGGATGGCTCCAGCGACGTTCCTCGCGGTGGAGCTGGCCTCTCCGGCGATGTTCCTCGCAGAGCTGAGACGTCCAGCAATGTTCCTAGCGGCGCTGACGCCATCGGAGAGGCTGTTAACGGACCTGATCTCCCCAGCGATGTCGCGGGCCGTGTCGATGTGGCCGGCGATGTTCCGGGCGGCGTTGACGCCGTCGGACAGAGAGGCGCTGAGCGAGCCAGTCCTACCCGAGCTCGAGCTCAGCGAGATGTTCAGCTGGCCCCGGGCGCAGCCGGCAAGGAGAGCGACCTGCACGGAAAGAACATTAGCCAGTTTGATAGGCGACACACATGGTAGGAGTGTTGCGTTTTGGTATGGCTTACCAGTAGCAGCACTTTCATGGTCGAGCTGTGATTGACAAAACTCGGATTGCCATTCCTTTTATAAGTCGGCCACCTTGTCCTCTCTGGGTTCGGTGTTTGAACAGCTGCATTGGGTGATGCGATTGGGCCACTATGCGACGCATTCATGAGATGTATGTCAGATCACCTTTCGGAGAAACATCACTCATACAGAGCAAGAATAGGCCTGCTTACGTGAAGTTTGGCTTTGCGTCATTAACCCCCCTCCCCCCCGCAATGTTGAACAGGGTGCAAGACGCTACCTCACCTAGACGAAAACAAAGAAACTGGAAGAAACTGCTAAGGAAAGAAAAGGTAAACATATGAAGAGACAATCTCTGGCTTATTTTTGAGCTTCTTCGCTCATTACCGTGTTGGCTCAGAAAAAGAAATTCGTTTTAAGACACCTAGTCCTTTCTATGTTTACATTTTACTTTCAACAGAAGACAAGCCGTCCGCCCACCATAACTCAGACTTAAGTCTTTCCGGCCAAAACTGCCTAACCAGGCCTAACTATACAAAACACGCTTGGGGGCGGGGAGGCTACTGTCGTGCTTTTCTCCCTCTCCGCATCCACTCGAACAGAGTACCAACCCGAAACTTTTGTTGCAGCCATACAAAATAGTTTTGTTTACTATGAGTTTAAGTATCAGTGAATTGAAATCCAAAGATTACAATTAAAATACACATCATTGATTTTTTAACGTGATTATTTATTGACAATGTTTTGTATAAAAAATAGTACTCTGTTGTCATGTTTGTCGTGAAAGGAACTGTGTTTCGTCTTCTTTCCTCTCCTCTCCTCACCCCTCCCCTCCCTCTCCCAGTGCAACGCTGTATGCTGTATTCCCCTCCGGACCGGAATAACACACTCAGCTGCCTGCGAAAATGGATTTATCAGGTACAACAGGTAACTGTTAGAGAAATTATTCTTGTTTTCCAGAAAAATATTTCTCTTTTGTCACTTTTATCGATTGACATTCTTATTCTTTACTTTCTTAATTAAATGAAGGTGATCAATCAGATGTAAACCATCAAGGCCTTTGTGCTTATTGTAAAAAGGATGCAAAACTTTCCTGTGCTAAGTGTGGAGCAAATTATTGCTCTAAAGAGCACCAAACTATTGATTGGAAGATTCATCGGAAATCATGTTCTAATAAATACTATGAACTTAAACGAGAGCCATCCAAGCCAACTGAATTAGTGGCATCCAAAAACATACCCTGCAATACAGTTATCTTTCAATCTCAGGCCATTGCTGTTGGTCCTGTAAGTTTGCAGCAGGATTTTTCTTAAAAGAAATAGAGCTTTTTTTATGCTTTATCATTGTTTTTACATCTTGTTAAATTTTCAGAGCTTATCAGAACCTGTGTGTCTTGGATGCCTGCGTCCTCTAATATATGATGTCATGTCTCCTTTGTGTAATGGCTGTGGATGGCCTGTTTGTGGTATAGACTGTGAGCGCTCAGAAATGCATCAGCTGGAGTGTCAAGCGATGCAGAATGTAGGGTACCGGTTTAATCAAGGTGAATATCCCTTTTGTTCTTTCTTACCTTTTGTTTGAGTCATAATACTAATAAATAATCTATTTACTTTTTTAGATGAACTAAGATCAGACTGGCGTCCTTTTTTTGCAATGAAGCCAGGCATATGGATTCTTGTTCTCCGTGTTCTTCTTTCTGGGAAATCAAAACAGCTGTTGAAGCTTTATCGAAGTGAAGATGAAAACGATAATAATGCATTTGGAAAATTTGCAAATGTGGCACTTCGTTCACATGGTGTTATGTTTATTAGAAATGAGTTGAAGCTCCAACAGTTCAAGGCAGAAGATATTATGCGATTAGGTTGTCTCATCTTAAGATCTACCGTGCCAGCTAGATATGTTCACCTTTCAGAGAGTGTAGAAGTGAGTGACTTTTCCCATCACCCTGAAGGAACACAAAGCCGAAATGAGGTCGAAATAGGGTGATCCCGGGGACTTTATTAACCGTTTCAAGACATCAATTTCGGTATCTTGGAGGACTACGCTTTGACTTGAAAAGGTCAACATGGGTATCTCTTTGACATCATTTCGACTCAAGTGGTTCTCCTTGGGTACAGAAAACTCTCCTTAACTCCACACATTTCAAATTCCTATACATATGTACATTTCTTAAATTTTCAGGCGGCTGAAGCTCACGCTTCTCATGTGGTATATTTGAAACAAACATGTGACCCGAATGTGGCCTATCACAGAATGAATGGAAATAAATCTACAATGGTTGTTGCATGTAAGGATATAAAAGCTGGAGAAAAGTTGACTGTATCCAAAGGATATTGGTTCCCAACAAGTCTTTGCATGACATCAACATTCTCAAGGCAACAATGGCAAAATCTGCTTGGTAAAAATCCTTGTGATTGTCAGAGATGCTCTGACCCCTCAGAGTTGGGACTGTACTTGTCATCATTAAAATGCAGAAACTGCAAAGGTATTTTGGGTAGCTATTCATAGCAGACATGTATCCAGGGTTCAGAGGATTGTGACCCTACGCGCCTGTGCCATCAGTAAAGGGACTATGTGGTAGGTGATTTGTTGTGCAATCAAGAGTGCAATCCAAGAGAAGCAAATAGCAGAATGACTTTAGTTCCCTGAACTCAAATCCTGGATACACGCCTGCTTATAGTGGGAGCTATGTTTTGTTTTTTAAACCTTTTAATATGTTTGTAAAATAATTTCTGTCTAGATTTCGTGGTGCCCAAGGACACTGCTAACATTTTAGTGACAGATTGGATCTGTAAAGCTTGCAAATTAGTTCTCAAGGGTGATGAATTTTTCAAAATAACTAAAGGTGTGGCAGATGAATTTTCAGCATGTCTTGGCAGTGAAAATAAGTTAATACAGCTGGAAAAGTTCATTGAAACCCACAGTGGACCTAATGGCGCACTTCATGGAAATCATGAACTTATCCTGCAGGCAAAGTTTAAGTTTTGTGAAACTACTTATAAAAATTCTATAGAGACCGGAGCTGCTTACAAATTTGGTAATACTAAATCATTGAGATGAACAAATATAACTTTTAATTTATGTTTGAATTGTTCAAGGAAACATAGTACTGAAGGGAGTTGAAGTTTTAAATTTTTGTTCTCAGATTGTAAAGAGCTTTCTCTGCTCAAGAAATATGCCACGGACTACTTGAACTTCCACCCTTTGTCATACCAAGTAACCTTTTACCATGACTTGGTCTTTCTTAAAAATTCAATTTACACTTTGGAGCATGGAGAAAGAACCAAGGAGGAGGCCAAAGTAAGTACTTTTGATCATGATAAAATGTAAACCACCATAAGGTGAAGTTTTAACTGTGTGTTTCCTTCTATCAAGAAATTTTACATTGAAAATAACTTAGCCTGGATTGGAATTTGCAATGGAAGACTTCAACGTTTCTGTGGTTATTGCCTCCAGATGGAAGAATATTTAACACTGCATACGGATTTCCTTGTGCTCAGCAGGAGATTAGACTTAGCTGTATTGTAGGAAAAAACTCTGTTTGCTTCTGTTTGAAACAATGTTTTAGATAAGAGTGCTAGGTCATTTTCACTTTCAAATGGTTTTATGAATCCTACTGTTACCTCTAACTTGGCTCTACTTTAAATGTTAAATGTTGCTTTCCTTTCACATGTTAGCCATCATTACTGACCCAATACCCCTAATAGTTTGTTGAATACTCTGCAGAATTTTTTCAGATAATTAGATTAACAATAAATTTCCAGCCCTTTTCAAACAGCATCATTTTATTTCAGTGGATAAACAATGTTTGCTATCCAACAACAATGTATTGTCTTTTAAAGTACAGTATCTTAAGGAGAAAAGAGCACGGCATAAAGTACACTTATACAGTTTTAACTTAAATGTATACATCAAGCATTTCAATGACACCGCTTTTGTCTCTCAAAATATCATTAGTGACAAAAGAAAACAATTTAGGCAAGAATTGGAAGGAATGGAATGTGAAAAATTTCTTACAAGAAGCTTACTTTGCATAGTGCTTTAGATAAACTGTAGTTTACCCTCAAAAGAAAAAGAGCTTTTGTTACTGACATTTATGTTGTGCTCTTACGCTTCCAACCAAATGCCTTACAAATATATAATATGGTTGTGTTTTATTGCGAAACATCCCATAGACACAATAATTTTAAACATGGCATTTATTTCGGTGCTTTCATATATTAATACAATATAAACTCAATTACATTAAATACTTTCTCATTTCACTAGATACCTTACCTTTCAAACATGTGTGGGAGACTATGACTAAAAAACAAAGTAATTAAATGATATATAGTACCTCACCTATTTGTGAGGCATAACAGAACAACAATGATACACAATAATCTATTGCTTTGGTAAGAAAAAGGAGTCTTGTTAATGTTTTGTTGAGGTCCGACGTAAAGGAGCTAAAAACTCATTAATGAGGAACCTACAAGAACTGTTACTTTGAAGGTAACATAGATCCTGCACTGTGCTTTTTCTGTTGTTGTTTGGAAAAACACTCAAACTCAGACTTTTTTTTAAATATTCATAAGTAAGTTTTTGGGGACTGTGGTTTTTGTATTTGTGGTCTGAACAGACAAAAGGTTTAAAAGAGGAAGATGTGTGACCAACCCAATTATATCAGGCCAGACTTGAGAGAATAGAAAGAGGGATTGTTGATGCAATGCTTTACCCAATGAGACTAGAAAGTCAAAACAATAATGGCAGTCAAATTTGAAGGTCTACAGAGTGCTAACCGTATGAACAACGTGTGTACCAATCATTTAATTGTGATATGAAAAAGCAGTTTAACACAAATGACATACAGTATCACTTTGGTAATATTAATCAAAATTGTAACATTCAAGACAGCAAATTTCCAGATCGGGCAGACATTTTTGTCATTTTTGAGATTGTTATCCGCACAGCAGGGGCACTGAATTTTTCAAACAGTAACGGAGAGTGAAAAAAACATTTCATTTACTGCTTTGCAAACAAAATCTGTGACAACACAAGGATGGTCCCAATGATGGTTTAGGAAAAGCATTGACCCCTAATAGGAGTGAGGGTGTTTCACAGTCCTGCTTTTTTCTACCTGGAACCCAGGAAAAAGTAAAAGTTACTTTTACTCCGTGCTAGAACCAAAAATGTAAAAGTTCACCTTATTTTCTTTCAGAAGTATTTAGATTGATAAAGTTTAGCTTAAGTCAAGTGATTTCAAAATCAGCTTTTACAGTGCAGGACCACCATCAAAACAGAATAGACTAGAAATATCTGACAATCCCTTTTCTTCAAGCTCACATTAACACACAAATATATACATTTCATATATGCTCAAAAATTGATGCAACTCCCCCTGAATATTTGTCTATGACTGTCTGACCAAGACTATGGCTGATTGTGATCTTATTTAAAGAGATCAAGCATCAAGCACAAACCATTTTATGAAGACATAAAATGTTAGATTGCATAACAGATAAGTAAACAACAGACAAGTAGGTTGAAAATTTAAACTCAATAGAGCCAACAATAATCCATACAGTTCCCTTGAGAGAATAAACAAAAAGCACAGAACACCTGAAACTACGATATTACAACTGATGAAAGGCAAGAAATCATCACATTTATCTTAAATAAATAAAATCTAGTATAATAAATTTCATGGTACGTAAAATGTGGTCAGATCACTGAGTGTGCCACACCACACCTTCACATGGGAGTTACTTCTTTGCTTGTATGTGCCACTTTCTTTTCAGCTCTTTAACTTATTTATGTTGCTGCGTACGATAAAGACTACTTTTGTAAAATACAATTTAAATCAAAGCTTCGAAATATACCTTTAACATCTTTTTTCAAAATATTGTCCTCAAGATAATGTGTAAGTTTTAGTGGACACAAGAGTCCTGGCATGATTATTTAAATTACCGTAGCTATAAACATATATATGAATAACGGGCAAAAATATTTAGTTACTGCATTTCAATCCATTGGGGCACATAAGCATAGAAACAAAAGTTTTGAACAACCTGCAGACCATATATGGTGGCAGTTGAGCAGTGAATCTGTCATACTTCTTATTTAGTTTTTAATTCAATAAATGCCAGTACAACCTACAGGCAGTTCAACAAACAACTGACTACCAAATGAGATAGGATATTATAAAGCCATTACTTTGACAACAATTGATTACAATTAATTTAAGGTGATTAGATAAGAAACAAAATGTAACACACCGTCCATCAAATCTGATGAAGGATGCAGAATACATGTGAGAGTGAATAATCAACGTATTAAGTAAAAGGCTACAGTAGTAAGTGCTTGAAAAGGCAGCTTCATGAAATATATTAAGTCCTCATTATAAAAATAACAAGTTGGAGGAAATCATGACTCCTTCACTTGTTAATAAACTTAATATTTAGAACAATGGCATAATTTCAGGTCATAATAAATAAAATCATATATAATCACAGGTGAACGTACCATTTTACACACAATAAAATCCCAAACACACAAAACAACAGCAATTAATTGCTCTTTTCAAAATTCTTTGAGTTCCTATCCTAATGTACTTTAAGCTCAAAATTCAGCTAAGTTGGTTGTAATAAAAATGTCCAGAAGTACACAGCATAGTCTAGAGAAGGCTAGCCAGATGAACTGTGATGGACATAACCAAATATCAATAGAAATAAGATTTACAAGCAGCTATTTATTATGTTCCAATGCTTCTGCCCTCCAAAAATATAAAAACAGATTCAAATTTGTAGTTTTGTTGGGATTTTTTTTCCAAACGTAGTTTTAATACTAAGTACAGTACTGTGGAATGAGAACATATCTCGATAGACACAGCAATGCATGCTACATTTAAGAATTTTGGAGCAATCATTCTGGACAAGCAAAATTAAATAATAGACTAGGCCTCCGTGTTTAGAGGAAAGGGAACAGACTACATACATTACATACAGCTTCAAACATGAAGTTCATCCTCCGCAGCAATACTCAAACATTATTTATACTGAATTACATATAATACAAAATTGTAGCTACAGTGGCATAGAAAGGTTATAATTCACTCTAATACTGCAGTTTGGAAACATGTCCACTGACCCTTCTTACCATTCTAGTAAACTGAAAGATATGGCTTTAATCATTTTTAAAAGAAACAAAAAATGAAAATTGCTTTAATTTCATGGCATACTGATGTGTCTAACAGAAAGTTTTGTCTTATAAGCATTGAATATTTGTATCATATCTAACATTACCGCAAATTTGCTTTCTAATACAGACTTTGCACAATAGAGCATTCTCTTTCAGGAAGTTGACGCACCTTCATAGAGCCATCTGCCCCACAAGAGAATAAACGTCCACATCCATCAACTTTTAGTTGTGTTACACCTTGGCCGATATTTTTGAAGAAACTTGAGCGAGCATGCTCTCCTGGGAAGTTGTACAATTGTTGATGAACAGAGAGTCCCCAAACCTACAGAGAGCATAGGAATCAAAAGAAGATGTGCATTATATTGGAAAGCAGAGAACAGAATCTTGTAAGTAACTGAAACAAACCTTTATGTCCCCATCAGCTGATCCAGTCACAAAGAATTCTTCACCAGGGTCAATAGCCAGGCATTTTACAGCTGAATCATGAGCTTGGAAACGATGTCTCATCAAGCGTTGGCGAACGTCAAATATACAAACATCACCTTTTTTGCCAGCAGAAATAAGCAGTTGATGTTGAGGCGCATACACAAGGCTGGAAGCTCCTTGATCATGGCAGTTGAACACTATAACGGGACACAATGAAGAAGTATGAACACTAATTAAGAAACACAGAACTTCATTATACACACATATACTCCCTCCCAAAAAAGAAGTTTCTTAAATCACCTACCAGCTAACAGTGATTTCTTTTGAGGCAAAAGAGTATCCCACAATGCAACATTCTTACTCTCTGAGCTGTGGCCTGCAGTTGCAACCAAACTACACGCACCAAGAAACACAAAATCACTTGTCACTTTACTGTGACATTGGTATGTCTGCAATTTAAAGAAATGGATATAAAATAGGACAATATATCTAAATCTATTGATATTCACACACTTTTAATGAATAAATGAAATCAAAACTTACAAAGAAAGGGCGACTTGCATTAGATTGTAATCCTATTTGCCACAAACTAAGGTTGCCATCTCCATCTGCAACTCCAAACTTGTTACCGTGTTCTGAGAAGCGCACGCGAGTAACTTTAGCAAATGTTCCAGGAGACCGTGGAACAGAGACAGGTTGTGCATGGCCCCACTCCCACATCTGAACTGAGCCGTCTTGAGAGCCAGTAAGATCTGTAAGAACGCAATTTTTAAAAAATAGAACCACAAAAGATTAGAAGTAAGATGATTGATTGATTAATTGGACCGAAGGGGGAGTGCGGTACTCAAAAACTATTCCGAATTAGACTCACATAATGGAAGCAATGGATGGGCACTCAAACGCCGAATTCCATCTACCTTGTGTTTCATTACCTGATAAGAAAACAACATTACAATTAAAAAGCATCACAGTATATTTCTGAAATACTTTTAAGAATAAAGAGAAATACTACTACACTGAAAACACCACATAAACAATGTTCAATATTTTAAAAAATCATTTCATTAAAAAAATGTTAATTAAAGACAAAAACTGTATGTATAAGTTCATGCCATTAATAATTTAGCTCAACTTTACAGGAAAAAAATTAAGGAAAACAACTACAGATAGTTTCAAAATTGCAGAATTACAGAATTGTACAGCACCGTCCACTGATTACAAATAACTGTTCACTGTGGTGGTTAAGTTGTACATAGCAATAGAAGAAAAATGACATTATTGGCGTAATAAGGATATGCACATAACATTTAAAGGGTAGGATGTACTAGGTAAATGAAATCTTAGAACACGTGCTTCATAAAAAATAATTACAACAGCATTTTACATCATGCTTACTTAACTCTCAAAGAAAAATTAAAGCTCAAGTCTTTGTCAATTAGCTGTTACCAAAGCAAAAAGAAAGATGCAAGGCTAGTAGACAAGTGCCTGTAACACTTTCTATGGGGAGCATTTATTTTTCTTTATCTTTTTCAGTTGTCTGTCCACATAGGCCACTTTCTAAGTGTTTATTTTACCTTTCACAAGAAGTCAATGGAAACACAGGGGTTGGTGACCCCACAGTTAAAGAATTCTTAGATATTTTTATAGGGGTAGACCTGCCTCCCAGAAAGTGTCAACTAACAAGATGTACAACATCGAACTCTGCTTGAGTCGGATGTCTCATGAAACCAAATATGTAATTTAATATGCATGATTGTGCTAAAGAAAAAACACTACTGTTTTTAAAAGGAATAAATACAGAAGATATTCAGGGAAGCATGCTGTTTTTGGTCTTGAAAATGTCACAATGAGAAATAATAGTAAAAAGATACGTAATACATTGCATTAATTACACATAGCCCCATTGTAAGGCACAGAAAACAAAATAGGAAATAAAAGTATAAAATAAAGTGAAACAAATAAAATAAAAGCCAGGCACTACAAATGTTTCACCCTCACCGGTTTCAATAAGTGTCGACTACGGTCGATCACCCACTGACAAAACTTGGGGTCATGAGACCCTGGGAAGTTGAGGCCCTTCATCTGTGACCCAGCATGTATCAGACAAGCAGGAAAGAAATGAGTACAATGCAATTTTATTTTTCTCATGGAAGATCTTAGAGTAACCAAACAAATAAGCTGAGGTAGATGACTCTTTCTAACAGAAGATGCAAAGAGGATACAGACAAAAGCCATTGGATTTTGCAGGTTGAGGAACCATCAACCAAGTAACAGAAATCTCAGTATGCATTTTTTGAAGAAAAATCTAAGATACCTAAATAATGAAACTGGGATTATTTAAATTTATTCCGAGGGAAGTGAAAATAAAATGTCCGCATAGAGTGAGCCAACGAGCACTCATACTCCAGCATTTGCCAGCTGCCTTACTCCATGTTATCAGACATTCAAGCAGGCAGGTTATTGCATCATTACCGAATGCTGTTTTCAACTGAAAACAATTGCCTATTGTGACAAATAACCAACACCTGATTTGATTCCATAGATAGGAATAGATAGGATACTTTGCACAACTCCCACCTGAGCAACCAAACACAACACACAAAAACACTCTCACACAAATGCAGGGATATGCTAGCTCTGAGATTCTGTCCCCTTACTCCATAAAAAAATAAAAAAAAGGAAAGCAGATTGGAGCGGGATTCTGAACTTTTCTATTAAATGTAACTCACTGTAAAAAACATAAGTTAACAAGTTAATTGTGTTCAGTAGCCAAAAGAGTAAATCTCACCACAGATGCTCCACGCCCTGATTGGCCAGCAATGCCGGGCTGAGGACTTGCTGGTTGCTGATAGTTCTGTATTGCTGGGGAGGTTTGTGACAAGTGCGGCCTATCAGCAGCAGTTTGAATGACAAGGAAACTTGAAGCAGGTAGTGTTTCTGGCTCCCTGAAAGAAGCATGATGTTTTAACTCAGAGGTACAGCTACTTCACACAATGTTGAACCATGCAAAAGATATATTTACTTGTTGAGATTTATTATGTCAAATTCACACTCATCTTCAAGCCATGAAGGTAATTCCAACAAAAGTGAAATATCCATTTCCTGTACTTCCCTAGGAGTAGCCAGAGCCAAAAGTCCAGCGTTAACCTGAAAAAGAAATGCCAAAATTGTAGAGCACTGGGTTTTTAAGAAAAGAGTTGACATAGTAAGAAATCAAATGTTCCATGTACCTGGTTAAGGCAGAATGCAGAAATAGAATCTTGCTCCTTGTGAATAATGCGAACGGGTTCTGGTAGTGGGTTGCCGGCTGAATCAACAGTGGTGGCTCCTTTGTTATCATCTGAGGAGTTTCCTCCACCACGTAATGCAGGACTGCCATCAGACATGTGGTGTCCTCCATCAAGGAGAGTTGACATAGATCTCTTCTTACCAAACACACAACGAATAAAGATTTCTTGAACAGCCTCCTGTCTTACAAGGAAACTCCATAAGCGCCGTGCAGGAGCAGCTGATATGTGACGTGAACTGAAAGAAATAATTTAAAATGTAAACAGTTCATGTAAAGAAATAACAATTTTACCTGTTATGCCCCCTTCAAATTCCTATAAAAAAGAAATACTCACTTGAAAGGGGTGTTACTTTTATCTAAAAGAGACCGATATTTATGGATAGCAGGACCAGTGGCTGTAGATTCCACATAACAACCAGGAATGTAATCAACTGGAGCAGGACCACGGGTATCAAGTTCATCTCTTAGGCAATCAATCCATTGATTGACAGCACGTAAAACTCCATGAATCAATGGGCTGCATACAGGCAGTTCTATACAGAAAATCAAACCAAACAATCAATGAGCAAAAAAAAGTTACAGGTAAGAAGAACTGTGAAATTAAAATTGGTAATTCCTAACCTTGCAACTCTATGCCAGCAATGTTTAGAAACTCTTGGAGTTGGCATTGCACAATTTTCATAACAGCGAGACGAAGTACACACCAACTGTATGAATTAGGATTAGAGTGTTCTACATTTTCGCGTTCTTTGTTTTTCTGTTTTTCTCTTTGAGCTGCACTTGTGCCATCAAAAATATTATCATCATCTTCATCTTCTGTTTCACTTAAGTCACTAACAGCAGAATCTGCAGAGTCATAATCAACTTCATCTGCATCTTCTTTCAGCTGAGGCTATAAAATTTCCCAGTAAAAAAACAAAAAAACATGGATTAATTATTTTTTAATTGCACTTACATAAAAATTAATTGATATAGAAAATAATTATACCTTGTTCAAAAAGTATGAGAGCATTGACATCTCAGGAGAAACAAATTGCTCTCTGTATGTAGGTTTATCTTCTTTCATTTGAGGAGTTCCTGACTGACTCCCAAACTGACCCAAAAGTTTCATGTTCAAGCGAGCTCGCTGCTTGGTGATTGAAGTCCACACACTACCCTCACTTGAAACGCTTTGTTCTCTTTCCAGACTTGTATTAGTACTACCAACAGACTGGAAAAAGACATATATTGTACACTAAAACTTATTACCACTATCTCAGATAGTTGAAATAGCAAAAAAATTGCCAAAACTTACTTGAGAGGCTGTACTTTGGGCTACTCTTAACAATTTTTTAACACCTCCTCCAAATAAGTTTGCCCATGTAAAATTGCTAAAGTTTTGACCAGCCAGACGGTAGAGAATATGTGAATCACAGGTGGCTGTAGCATAAGTAATCAGACTCATGTAAGTGGCAACAAATGCTTCGCACAACAAAATATTCAGTCGCGGAGTGTCTTCATCTTTATCTCTGGCTAGAAGAGCCCGCAGATTTGTGACTCCAGGCCATTTTGATGGTATGGTTGTGACTTGCAATGGTTCATCAGTTGAGTACCTTCGACGCCTGGCATTTCCTGCTATCAAATGACTGTTGGGATAAACAACATTCAACCTTGCCAATGTTTCCATTCCTGTGCTTTGGAATGTGTCTGTATGGTGCTTCACACTGAAAGTATCAGAATCACACAAAGACTGATAGATGCAAGCTGATAGAGCAACTGACAGGTCACGTAAAACAAATACATGGCTGAACTTTGATCGAGTTAACATGGGAGGGCTGCGGAAATCAATTATGGTTTGCAGCATATCGTGGGCTTGAGCCTGTAACAAATTTTGTTTATGTAGAAAAAAGAAAATCACCTTAAACATAACTAGAGCCAACATTAGAAAAGGAGGATAATGTTTTCAATTTACCTGCAAATGACGCACAGGGTCTGCCACTACAGTCTTGTTGCAAGCTACACTAGCAGAAAGTAATGGCAAAGTTGTTGGGAAAGGCAAAGGTGACAATAACTGCTGTTGTGTTTTCTCCTGCTGCAACTCTTGCAGCAACAAAACCAACTCCATACGGACTGATGCCAAACCACCTCCACTTGCACCATGCAAGCTACAATAACTCAGTAGAGTGCGAAGCAGAGTTTCGTTTGCTAAAATTTGAGAAAGTATGATAATATATTAAGAAATGATCACAGTT